TGTTTCATATTTCAAGAACAGTTTTGTAAATATTGAATAAAGAATAGTGCACGCTTTGATCAAGTATTGCCTATATGTGCTTTTGGGAACGGTTTTATGATTGTTGTCAAACAAAGTGTCAACAGTTTACAAAAATGTTACCTATTCCATATTTTCAGAACATTTTTTAGGCGTTGCCTAAAAAATCGTTGCCTAATATAAAAAATGTTGTAGGATCTCTTCCTCTTTCCCGAGAGCTCGGATTCTTCTTCTCCGAGAGGTAAGAGAAGTTAGGTTTCGTGCGGATTTCTTGTAAATGTGCTTAGGAACTCAAGTAATGCTTGAATTTAGGAGATAAATGGTCGAATTTGAAGAGTTGTTCATTTTCGGGGTTTCGGGAAAATTGGGGAAAATGGGGATTTTTATGCGTTTGATGGTTGCATGTTGAAAAAGAGATGGTTTTTGAGTTGTATGATGTAAATGTAGTTCATTTTATGGATTGCATGTGTTTGAGCTGGCTGATTTGCAGGTTTGGTGTGAAATTTTTGAAGTGGTGAGGGTTGCGGTTTGAAATTGCGTCGGACATAGTTCTTGGCCTTCAAGGTATTTTTCTTGACTCTTCCTTGACTTTGTTTTTATGTTCAATGTTTTTGTTGTACACTTGTTGTCTCCAAGTTAATGTGATCATCAAAACTCTTAAAGTCTTCAGCTCCCCTAAGCTCAACAGACAGGACTCCAGAGGGCCCAAAAGCACAAATTAAATATTTTTATGGGCCCGGAACGAGCCGTTCCGGTTTCAGAACGGGCCGTTCCAGGGTCCAAATTAACACAGAACGACCATATCCAGAACGGCTGTTCCGATTTTGGAACGAGCCGTTCTGGACCCCTTCTGAAGTCTATAAATAGACAGCTGGGGCTCATTTCTCCGGACTCCAAAATTTCATCCAGACTCCTTAGAGTACGAAATTTGTCTCTTTTTCTCTCTCCCCTCTCTTTTGTATTTCTTGAGATTTTGTGAGGCATTGTAGTGTGAAAGATTGCCACAAAGCACCTAAAATCTTCCTGTTTTGAAGATTCAATAGAGCTCATTCAAGAGGTATTTCAGTCAATCTCTTTATCCTTTTTTTATTTATTTCTTCTCTATAATAAATATTGTTATAATAAAAATAATCATGTAGACATTTTAGGGTTAATTGTATAATTTAAATTTCAAGCATGTAAATAATTATTAATAAAAGGGGATTTAATATTTATATTATTATCATTTATAATGCTAACTTCATCATAGGGTACCAATTGAGGGCGTTGTAGGGGTGCTTAATACCTTCTCTACACGTAACCGACCCCCGAACCCAATTCTGGTTATCAAGGCCATTATTAGATTTTTAAAAACCTTTTTCTTTTTCCAATGTTTTTGAGTAAAACATTGGTGGCGACTCCATGAACTCATTTTTCAAAAACCATTAATTAAGGATTAGTCTGGTGTCCGGGCATTCCTTAATTGATGAGACTTTTAAAAGGATGTCTAAATCATACGTCGCAAGATTGGAAAAATTCAGGTTGCGACAGGTGGTCGCCGGGGGGTCGGCGATGGGCCGCATCTTCAAACTAGAGAGGTAACACTCCCTTGCCGTCTTCTGATCGGCGTGCACGGTGATTACCTGCCCGTCCTTCGATGGGAACTTCATACATAGGTGAGGGGTCGAAACAATGGCCCTCAATGTATTGATTGAAAGTCAGCCAAGGAGGATGTTGTAGGACGTGTTTGCGTGTACCACAATATAACAGATTTTGATCCCTCGGGAAGCCTTTTGATCGAAACCGAATCGGGTGTATAAGTCAATGCATCCTTTCGTCTTCACTCTTTCGCTTGAGAAGCCTACTAGTGGTTCGTAGTATGGTTCTAGGCTCTCCTCTGGGATTCCGAGCTGTACAAAAGTATTCTAGTATAAGATGTCGGCCGAGCTCCCTTGGTCCACCAAAGTTTTCTTCACAATGCAGTTGTGTATTTCGACCGAAATCACCATGGGGTCGTCTTGTATGGGATCGACACCACGGAAATCCCGGTCGGAAAAGGTTATAGGTGGCATCCTCGGCATCCTAGGCTGATTCACACTGTTCACCGACCGAACGGCACGGAGGTGTCGCTTCCGTGCCGAAGAGGTGGTTCCGCCTCCGGCGAAGCCTCCGGCTATTGTGTTAATCACCTTCCGCGGTCGGTCATTGTCTTCCCTGGGATGCTGCGATCGGTTTTGCCCCTCGGCTGAACGGGATCGGCGACGTCGGTCTCTTGGCGTACGAGTTTCGCGAGAGTTGTGGTCTCTTTCCCTTAACTGGTGGTCTTGGGAAATAACAA